CAAGCAACAGGATGTTGATTGAAAAGCCAAAAATCCAAATAATTTATACAAATTTTTCTCAATTTTTATCAAATCAAAAATAAAGCAAGATATATAATAAAAAATAAAGACATATCTGATACCCTCATCCCATCCCAAAAAAGAAAAAAAAAATATGGAATGACATTGTCACGAGGAATTGTACACACAAATTTTTTCCAATTTTCATCAAACCAAAAAATAAAGCAAGATAAAACAAATAAAAAAAAATCTCGAATGACAATGACACGAAGAATTATATACAACCGCGCGCGCGCACGCACGCACGCACACGCACTCACGCACACACACGCGCGCACGCACACACACACGCACGCACGCACGCACGCACGCACGCACGCACGCACGCACGCACACACACACACACACACGCGCGCGCGCGCGCGCGCGCACACACAAAATTATCTGCCAATTTGTATTCCACAAAAAAAGAAAAAAGAAAAAAGAAAAAAGAAAAAAGAAAAAAGGTACGAACACAAAGCTTCCATAGGATTCGAGTTCGATGAGGCCGAAACAACATCGTGAGCTCTCGCGTTTATCCGGCCTGCAATCTCGGCGTGGTATTACCTTTAAATTAATAAACCCCGTTGCGTCGCGTGATTGCCGTCACTCGGAAACGCGTCCGTTACGCGCGTGTTATTACGCGCGGCGTGCAATTTCAATAATAATTATAATCACGCGCGTGGCCGCGCGTGACAAGGACGCGAGACATGGAGGAAAGACCGAGAGGGACAAAGAAACATCACTGGCCAAACGAATGCTCCTCTGCCCCGTACCGGAGACTTTAATGCCTGCCCACGAACCTAAAGAACCGCTGAAATTCGTATTTCCATCGTGTACCAGCATCGCGAGGCTATGGTTGGAGGTTAGGTCGCTCGAAATCAACGATCTGGTTCACGTCACTGTGATTGGTCGAGGATCGACTAGAGGAGGTTACGTACAGGTGAGCTCGTTTGCATGGAGGGGATGAGACCAGGTCTCATCCGCTGAGAAGCTTCCTCTCATTGGACTTCGTTCTCGCGAAAAATGACCGTAGACTGTAGTTCGTGGTCCGTAGTAGGGGTTAGAACGACGTGGATTGGTCTATCGAGAGGAATTTAGAAGTTCCAGGCCTAATCACCATGATCGGAAGGTGTTTGAGAGACACGGAGCTCGAGGCTCCATCTACCGGGCTGGTGGCTACTGCGCGGGGCGCAGAAGGAGGCCGTAGGTTGGCCTAGTGGGACGCAGCGAAGATGACAATGGTGTAACTAGTCAATTGAATTATTTTCATTGGTTGGAGTGACTCATCAATGAGATCATCGATGAGTGGATTATTTGATGCAGGATTTGTGTTAAGCTCGGGGATTGTCTATCAGTTTTTGAAATTATAGATCATCGAGAGGTGTAGGGGTTAGAAGATGGCTCGATAAATATTCGTCCCTGTTATCCTAGAATTTACAACCCTCTAAGAACACGCTGGGAACTTCCGAACTCTGAGCCCCATAAATCCAAACCGCTGTAAGTTTCGAACTCTGGAGCTACCGAGATCGTAATCTCGAAGAATTTAATATTGTTTGCAAAATTTAAGGGGAGATTAAGGTGCTCACGTGAAAGTTTCTTGTGGGTATACTTCGCACCGACTATGTTTGAACCTGCCAACTTGTCACACGATTTACCGCCATCTTGGTTTTAATCAGTCATTTAACCAGGGATTTTCTTATTATGTTCTCATTGTATATTAGTGGGTATTAACACAGATCTAATTGAAATTAAATGGTTCTTATTCGATATAAAAATATTTGAATGCATGTATTAAAAACTTGATTAATTTTTAATTAAACTGGATTAAAATTGTCAACTATACAGGGTGCCCCAAAAAAATTTAAACACACTTTGCGTGATTACAAAAACAGAAAAAAAAGAAAGAAAATTAGAAAGAATAAGGTATTAAAGTGTGTATACGTTATTTTGGGACACCCTGTATATCTCTGAGTAATTGTCTTTGTCAATTTTGTGCTGCCATTTTGTTACTCAGGCTTAATATATCACATAGTGTAAAGATAAAATGAAAGAAATAATAAAGTGTAAATAAAAAAATGAAAGTAATTTTATTAAGCAAATTATTCCATAAATATCTTTCATATCAAAATAAAATACAAAGTAAAGTGTAAAATAAAATATATTGAAGTTAAAGAACACGAGATAAATAGAGAATATAAAATTGAAAAAAAGAAAAAATAATATTTAAGTTTTAATTTGCTTAATTTACTCGAGAAACATTTCTTGAATATTACTATATTACCATATCTCCTATCTTCAATTCCTAATACAGCTGCCAGTTAACGTCTCCTCTCTCGAGGCTTCCAGAGACAGATTTAACAGAGGAATTCATACCTCGAGGTACAACCACGACATCTTCATTACATGTTACCGAAGTACTTTCCAATCCAAGAAACTTCATTATCATAAATTTCCAGCTCGCTACTCCATCTGTTCCAAGACATATCTCATCTCCCAATTCCAAATACTTCACTCTACTGCACGCAATCTTACTTTCCAGCTTCGCAAATAAACGTTCCTCCATTCCATCCGCCATAACCAATCTTTCCTTCACTCGAGCGAAAACATTTACATTTATACATATCAAAAACTGCAAGCATAAACTAGCGAACCAAAGTTCAAAATTTTCTCAAACTTTTCACTCGCACTCACAGAGAAATATTATCGTTATCGAACACGAAACAGCCAATAGCACAAATAAAACAACGCGAAAGCAAAAGGGACAATGGGAACACGCGAGAAGGCACGGGACACGGAAAGGAAACGCGGCAGATATGGCGCGTCTGTCAGACGTAACACGAGCGATATCTACCGTCAAGGCGACAAAGCAACCTTCGAGTGCTTCCGAACCTCCGACTCTAGATATCACGACACGAGATCGTCTGATCGGACCTCTCACTCGCACCTACGGCGGCGGAGAATCGACCACGCGTCACAGGCAAGTTCACGGAGGATTCGTCGAATGGCCTGGGAGCCGGAATCCGCCGGGAGGTGAGAAACTCCCGAGAGAAAGGACGATTTAAATTGATGAGAGAGATCCTCGTATGGCGAAGGTCGATTGTCCCCAGTGAGTTCGTGTGAGCCTGATTTTCTGGCTGACTGCGCTGACACGGGAACAACGGGTAGAATAAAAGCACTTTTTCGGTCGTGAAAAGGTTCTGCAAGAGACAGAATGATAAATGGCGGAAAATCGGCGAGTTGACTTTGATATTCAAAGCTTTATACGTAGCCCAAGAACATTTCGCCTTCAGTTATAACACGAGAAATTTGAAAAACGATTATCTATATTATTGATGATTTGTAATATTCAAATGTAATAGAAATTGAAGCACTTTGTGCAAGATCTACGTAGGATAAGTAAAAAAAAGTTATCGATTGACTGTTGGTGTAGTAGGATACTGTCGTGTACATTATATATGCAGTTACAGGCCCCTGCCGATAATGCAGAGATTCTTTAGCCGCACCTCAAGTTACCATGGAACGATACAACTAATTAATTGAACCATAATTAAATCCATATTTAAATAAAACCAGAAGTTACACGTACCCTTAAACAATTTACAATTAAACAACATTTCTATATCAAAAATAAAAAAACGAAACTCTGAAATCTTCTATATTGCAAAATAAATAGCAGACTATACTTCTTACCATCGAATGATACATCCCAATTAACTAACCCTGCTTTACGGAACTAATTTCTACGAACCAGCCACCATTTCTACACTCCCAGCGAAACACGCGTAAACCTACAAGCATGTACTCATTCCGGAGCCACGACATCTTTCCTCTTCAATTCGTACAATTCCGCAACGCCACGCTAATTGCCGGTCATTATGAATTCAACGCGGAGCCAACACGAGCGGAAGGGCTTCTTTGTCGGCGCACTTTGGACGAAGAGGTCTTACGCGCTCGGGGAATTGCACCTGTCGAACAATGTCCGCTCGTTACGAGCGTGGCGCGCGGGTGTTTGTCAGCAGCGACCGCTCGAGACAAAGCGCAATTAATACCGGGTGGTCCGATTCCGTCCGCCGGTATCGGCTCGCGAGATAAAGCATCGACGGAGCGGAGTCGCGCGCGATTTGCGATCCAACAAAAACGCGAACGCTTCCGTGTTCTCGTTATGCACCGCGGAACGCGACAGCCGTTTCTGGCCGTTCATTTAGCGCGGGCCATTAAACGCGGTCGGGCAAGACTCGCGCGCGCGAACTCCACGCGCATTGTGTTGAATAATGAAGGGCGCGATATCGAGCCGTGGACCACGTTCCCTATACGGAAAACTGCGTCACGAATGAAGCGTTAGAATTATTTGAAATTATTGTTTTGGCTAACGTGGTTTAATTCTTCTTTCTATTTTTTTTGTTTCCTTCTTTTTCTCTTAGCTGATTCCAACTGTTTTATTTCTATGTACCGACTGAGTAGGTATTCAGCTGAAATATGGGCTGATGGATAGGGAATTCTATGTCACGGTTGAGGCGTATATAAGATATTAAAACAATCTACATGTGAGAACTATTATTTATAGTAATAATCGTGACGATATAGTGGAAAATTAAGAATGGTTAATCTATGTAGAATTAAAATCCCTAGGTATTAGTTTTAATTTTGGAAACTGGAGAATTATATTTTTCAGTAATTTTTTACTATAAACCCCTAAAATCGCGGATTTATTTTTCAACCATTTTGTTAATGCAATTATATAATGGATAAATTCTCGTTTCCTAAAGTCCAGCTTAAATTTCATTGTCAACCTAACCTTTTTAACGTCGTCGTTATCAGAATCGTAATAGGACAATGACATCCTCGTTAGAATGGAACATCGATTTAAAAATCCACTTCGAAGCAGCTTCGTTGTTTCGTACAAAATTACATCCTCGTTTAAACAAGATTAATGTTGGACGTGTGTGCGAGAGACTCACCTATCGGAGACGCGGTGTTGGCTTCCCGTAGACTAACTGTTTCTGGTTCAACCGCCGCTTCGTCTTCCTCGATCAATGGCGGCGGCGGTGCTAGGGGTCGTGACTCGTAACCCCAATGTTGTCGAAAAGCACGTGCGCCGCCATCCAATCGAACACGTGGTAACTCCACGAACATGGCGTCGCCCAACTGCAAACATAATTGCCGAAATTAGGTAATTTAGTGCGATTTTAATATTACTAAATTGTCAACAATTAATAAATATTAAATATATTATTATATTATAACAGATAGTGTGCTATTATAAATAGAATGGTACATTATAATAAATAATATATTT